AACCTTGCAGTTCAAATGACTTTGCAGTCTGACGTATTAACCCCACAGCACCACACCAGGCAAACTTATTAGATTCAAGTTAATATTATCTTGATGTTGAAATATCATTTTTCAATTGTTGTTGTTATGTGCCGTGGAGTTGGTTCCGACTCATAGTGACCCTGTACAGGGTTTCCCAGGCTGTAAATCTTTATGGAAGCAGAAAGCCTCATCTTTCTCCCACGGAACAGCTGGTAGTTTCGAACGGCTGACCAATTAGTAAAACAAAATTCTTAGCATCATTTCCTATAGAAATTGTATTTGCTCTGTGGTCAGAAAACAAAAAGCTTAGGTTAAAGTCTACTATTAAAACAAAGTATAAAGAACTCTCATATCGTATGTAGCGCTGCAGATTAATGCACTGGACTGCAAGGTCAGTTTGAACCACAAGGTTGGCAGTTCAAACTCACCAGCCGCTCCCTGGAAACCTTATACAGAGTCACTATGAGTCGGAAAAGACTTAACAACAACAACTGCTGCTGAGAAACTGTTAACAGACAGCATTCTGGGGAGAGAAAAAAAAACAAGTGTAAGAAGAACAAAAAAAGGCTCAGAAAATTGTAATGTATCAGTTAAAATCTAGTCATCCTCAACTTTTAAATAATTTGTCTCCCTGATATTATATAAATTGTCTCCCCTTTCAAACTGTTTCCTGCAAAAAGGAATTTACTCGAGATGGCCCAAAATAAATATGCGCAATCTTGGCTACTCCAACCCTCCAATTCCACTTATTTTTTCAAGGTTAACCTATTTCTACCTTTCCCCACATCTCTTGGCCCAACTACATTCCTTAAGTATCATCTTGTATCGTTGTTTTCTTTTCAATATAATACACAACTCTAAGGAGCTCTGGTAGCGTAGTGGTTACGAATCGGGCTGCGAACCTTAAGGTCAGTGGTTCGAAACTACCAGCCGCTCCGCGGGAGAAAGATGAGGCTTTCTACTCCCGTAAAGATTTACACCCTCGGAAACCCTGTACAGGGTCGCTATGGGTCGGAACCGACTCGAAGGCACTTAACAACAACAACAAAGATAGGATGGCGTCCTGGTGCGGTGCTGTGGGTTAATGCACGGGACTGCAAAGTAGGTTTGAAGCAGCTGCTCCTTGGAAACCCTATATATAGTCGCTAGGAATCAGAACCGACTTGATGGCACCTAACAACAACAACTGTGGTGCTGTAAAGTAAGCGTGGGACGCTCCTGTGAGTGGGAACTGACTCCACGGCACTTTATAACCATCAAAGAATTGTCTGTTTAACAAGGGAGATCCACACATAAACATTTACATACAATGTGGCAATAACATTTAATTACTTAATGAGTACTAGATATCATTCTAAACTCATTACACACTACATATATTTAATCCCATAAAATTGGTCTATTAGTATCCTTCCTGTGCAGATGAGGCACAGTAACTTGCTTTGGGATTAGAAACCCAGAGATCAGATTATAAGGAAAGTTCCCAAATTGGACTTGTATGGAAAAATCAAAACTTTGAACCAGTTCAATCCCTGGCTGAAAATTTGCATTTCCACCAAAAAACTGACTCAGAATCCACAGTTTACAAGATCCCCAGGTGATTCTCATAGAGTCCCAGGTGATTCGTATAAACACACACACGTGATTCTCATAGAGTCCCAGGGGATTCATACACATACGTATATGTATATATACACATACATACACATAGGCATCACCGGGGATCTTGTTAAAATGTAGAAGCTGATTCTGTGTACTCAGGTGGAAATGCAAATTCTCAGCAGTGGGTAGAACTGAATGATTGTGATCTATTAGCCCCATTTGGGAGTTCCAAGTCCTGATCAAAATAAACCACACTGCACTGGACTGCAAACCACAGGTTGGCAGTTTGAACCCACTAGCTGCTCCCACAAAAAAAAAGATGAGGAAGGTGAGGCTTTCTGCTCCCTTAAACTGACATCAGAAACATCTTCTGCCGCTATGAGTCGGAACCAAGCACTTAACAATATCAAGCTACTGGTAAAAAGATTGGAAACCCTATACAGGGTTGCTAGGAGTCTAAAGCAACTCCACAGTACTTAACAACCAGGGCCCTCCGAGGGGTGGGAAGGGCAGTTGATGAGTGTCGTTATGTACCGTTTTTACTAACTAAGGAGAGGTGTCCTGTCCTCTAGGTGTTATGGTGAAAATGAAGAACAATTCCAAAAGCAATACTAACAAGAAAGGAAAAGTAGCTGTTTAAATCTAGTTACATTAGTTAGAAACCATAATGCTCTTAAATTTAAAGCTGGATCCTAACCAGCCTCAATATTTGTTTATGCCCCTCTGCATGACGCCCCTCATGTTTCTAATTATCCCATCCACGCTATATGCATTAAGTGTCAATAACAGTTTTCTCTACAAACTCAAAGCACCTCTTGGCAGATTACCAAGATCAACCACACTACTCTGGGGTTGTGGTGTGGCACTATAGGATTGCTAGCCACAAGGTCAGCAGTTCAAACCCACCAGCCACTCCTCAGAAACCCTAGACAAGGCTGCTATGAGTTGAAACTGGCACTTAACACAACACAAGTAAAGAGACCTGGTGGTGCTGGGGGTTAGGCATTGAGCAGTTAACCACAAAGGTAGGTAGTTCAAACCCACCAGTTACTTCTGAGGAGAAAAATGAAGGCTTCTGAACCTGTAAAGATTTAGTCTCTGAAGCCCTACACAGGGCCCCTATGAGTCAGAATCACCTTGATGGCAGTGAGTTTTGTTTGGTGTTTGATTAACACAAATATAGAAAACTGGGAAGACATAAACAAATGGCTGAAGTTTGGAAACTAGTACACCACGCCCACCTTTCTCCTCACTAAAGGTTTAAATTAATAATCTCCTTCTCACTAAAAGGTTAAAATAATAAGTGGGGAACCCTGGTAATACAGTAGTTAAGTACTCAGCTGCTAACCAACAGGTCAGCAGTTCAAATCCACCAGCTGCTCAAAGGATAAACAATGAGGCTGTCTGCTTCCTTAAAGATTCACTGTTGTTGTTGTTAAGTGCCATCTAGTCATTTCCAACTCATAGCATTTCCGAGGAGCAGTGAATGAATCTGAACCGCAGCCCTTGTGGTCCATTTGTTTGTCCTATGGTGCCACACCAGGACTTCCTTAAAGATTTACAGCCTTGGAAATCTGGGCAGTTCTACTGTGTCCTTCAGGGTGGTAATGAGTCCAAAACTACTGCAACAGATTTGGGTCTTTTGTTTATTTGTTTTGGGAAGGAGAGCAATCTCTTCCATCAATCCTCATCCATAACTTCTTTTATCTTGCCTTACTGGTGGTATTAGTGAGGACCTCCCAGTATAATGCTGAATAGGAGTCACCACAGCCAGATCCTTATTGGAGTCTAAATTTAATGCTACTTCTAGAGTTTCACTATTAAGTATCACGTATTTTAGATTTTTGGCAGATACACTGAGTTCATAGAATTTCCTTTGAACACGCTTCTACAGACTGCCTTCCACTCCCCTCTTCTTTTCCTTTCTCTTTTGTGAGGTTCCTTCCTACATCCTCTCAACCATTCAAGTACTGTATCCGCGACTCAAAATAGGAGTACTTCAAGGGTTTTATATCTGTCTGTTTGGGTTCCTTGAACCAAAAGTCTTCTAAAAGTGATACTTTAAAAAGAATCCTAAAACATGCAGTTTTTGATTTCTTGCAGATTGTTTCTTCTCTCCCATCTCTCATACACACGCCTCAAGATCTCCCTTTTTGTTAAAATAAGAATTCAAGGAAAAAAGAACAAAACCGTTTTCAATTCCTGCTAACTTTCCAATACGCTAACTGCCCAGCTCTGAATGAGCTTGGCTTAAGTAGGGGAGAGAAATCTCAAGGATTCTCAAGAAGTTTCCAGGGAGGCAGCTGGACCCAGATGTTCAAAAAGTCAGTTCTATCGCCTGCTAAACTGGAAAAAAAAAAATTTTTTTTCAAGAAAAAAGAAAAGACAACGGGGTCGTATTTTGTAAACAAGTAGGGTAGAGTTCCAGGATGTAAAAAGTGGAGAGGCAATAGGGGACATTAGCCCTTCAGAGCCCTAGCAAGTTATGAATTCTGTCCCTCATTGGTTTTTCTTTCAAAACAAAAGGGCAGCAACTCCGAAGTGAGCAGCCAAAATGTTGCATCATACAAAATACTCCACGTTTGAGCAACAAGAACAAAACCACCAAACCCACTGGCCCTCGAGCGAATTCCGATTCAGAACGAGCCTACAGGGCAGAGAACTGCCCCGCGGGGTTTCCAACGAGCTAACTCTTCACGGAGCAGACTGGTGGGTTCGAAGCGCCGACCTTAGGGTTCGCTGCCCAGCGCTTAACCGAGGCGCCACCAGGGCTCGTGCCAAAAAAAAAAAAAAAACAGACGGTGGTCAAAACCCCCAATGAAGGAGAACCCAAGTTGGTAATCCGGTCTTCTCGGGCGGCCCCGTTTCGTAAAACGTTTTTTTAAAGATCGCTTCGAGAAGTAAAGTTACGGCGGCATCCCAGCCGGGCGCGAAAAGCTCTTTTAAACGGCGTTATGGAAGTTCGATTTACCATCTCCGCCGGAGTAGGGCGCCGGCTCCCGGGACCCGGGCTTGGGTGGGGAGTACTGGGGTGGGGTCGGGCCGGGGACAGCGCGCCGTGTGGCGCCGGGTGACAGGGCCCTAGCCCGCGCTCATCCGGGGGTCGCAGGAGCCGGAGACGCGTTTCTCCGACAGCTCTTCCTGACCCACGGACGCGGGAGCGTGGTCCCGGTCCCCGCCCTGCCCCTCGGAGGCGGGAAGGCGCGGGTGGCCCCGAGACAATGGGCCGGGGGCGCGGGGGCCAGCGCTCTCCTCAGACCCGGGTGCGGCGCGGCGCGCCGCGCGGGGGCGCTTCAGGGACGCGAGGGCTGAGAAGCGCCCGTGGCCGAGTGGGCGCCGGGGGCTCAGCTGGGCTGTGCAGCGGGGCGAGCGCTCACCTTGACGAAGAGCTCGATGATAGGCTCTTTGTCTTCCTCCTTCAGCCCGTTCAGCGGCATCGACAACGCCATGGTCCGCTCGGCTGGACTGCACAGACGGCGGCGACTGCTACTCCGGAGCGGCTCTGGCTGACGGTTCCCGCCGCTCTCTCTGCGCCTCGCTCGCGAGTCGCGGCGTCAAGCTCTCAGCGACCACAGCTCCACAGCACCGCCCCACGTCCCGCGCGCAACTCAAAGGCAGCCGCAGCCAGAGCCGCTTCAAAGCGCGGGGCGGAGCGGGGCGGGGCGATTCGCGGGGCGGGGCCAAGGCCCGGCGGCCGGCTTCTTACGCTCCAAAGGAAATGGGGTGGCCAGCCTCGGGGGAGTGGCCTCAGGAGGAGAAGACTGGACACCTCCAGGACCAGCCAGAGAAGGGCGTGGTCTAGGTTGTGGCGTGGCCTCGGTCGGGGCACTACGAAGCTCAACCTCCGAGGAGAGGAGGGCGGGGAACCATGCCTCGCCTCCCGAGGGGGAGGGATGGCTAGTCCCCCAGACACCCGAGCCTGACACTGTCTCCCTCTGCAACGTTGGCGCGTCCTCCGCAGCTGCTGCTGGTACAGTGCCAGGTGACCTCACGCCTTCTACGGGCCTGGTGAGGGGAGAAGGCGCTTCTCTTCCTCTCTCCCCCGCTTCAGGTCTCCTCCCAAACGCCCTCTGTTAGATGGGGCTGCCTCTTACTAGACAATTTTGCGGAAAGTTCTTTTCATCCTCTCAAAGACGCCTTTTTCTTCTTCTGACTTACTAGTTTTCCTTTCTCTGAACGTTTCTATTTTGAGAGCTAGCTTGCTAACAAATATTTACAAGGCTCGAGGTTTGGCTCCTAACCGTAAGGCAGGTCCCTGAGGAAGGAGGATGAGGCTGCTCCCATAAAAGTAAAGATTTACAGATATATATATATATGGAGCTCTGGTAGCGTAGTGGTTACGAATCGGGCCGGTTCGAAACTACCAGCTGTTCCGTGGGAGAAAGATGAGTCTTTCTGCTCCCGTAAAGATTTACAGCCTCGGAAACCCTGTTACAGGGTAGCTATGAGTCGGAACCGACTCCACGGCACATAGCCACGACCACCATATAGGGTCCTGGAGTCCTGGTGTGGTGCTGTGGCTTAATGCACTGGACGGCAAAGTCAGTTTGAACTGCAAGATCGGTGGGTTCAAGCTCACCAGCCGCTTCTGGGAAACCCTATGTAGGGTCGCTGTGAGTCAGGTCCTAAGGAGCTCTGGTTCTCAAGGTCAGCACTTCGAAACTATCAGATGTTCCACAAGAGAAAGATGAGGAGTTCTGTTCCTGTAAAAATTTACAACCTCGGAAACCCTATACAGGAACCGACTCCACGCACACCACTACCACAATATAGGGTCCTAATCCACTAGATGGCAGTGGGTTGTGCTCCAGTCTCAGGCTAGGCCTTGGGCATTAAACATTCCCTTCTCAAAGCCTAGTCTTGAACTCCAAGTTCTGTGCATGAAGGTTTCTAACCACTCCCAAGCCCTTGTCCATGTTCCTTTGCAGTCATTTCAAGTAACCCGCTGACAAACTTAAGTGAACATCAGAATCGCCTAGTTGCTACACACAGCCACTTTATCAGATTCCCTGGAAAAGAGAGGAATTCACATTTTAACAAAACTCCAGGACAATTCTATAGCACGTGATCCTCAAACCAGTGAAACTGCATTGAGTTTGAAACCCCTGAGGGCAGCGGCCGAGCTATTTTAGCCAGGCATGTGGTAGGCACTCCCACCAAGTTTGCTGCTGTTGACTGCTTGGAGCAAATGTTGTGTCCTCTGAAAACAGTTCATTGTCCCCTCTTATGACTTTGTGTAATACTTGACTCATAGCTGCTGCTTACCACTCCCCAAGTTAGGTTGAATGGTGAGTTCTGGAACGGCCACACTTTGGAAATTGCCTCCGTGCCTTTAGTGCACAGCACATCTCAGAATGTTTGAAAAATTAGAAAATAAAGTGCAATTTACAACTCCTTCTTATCACAGCAAGTTGTCCCATTTGAATTCTCTTGTAGTAACTGTTAAAGAGACCGTGTATCAATAGTGAATAATTGTTATCAGGACTGATTGTGAGGGTTGGAAATGTAAAGGTAGACGTTTTATAGCAAGGAGGGGAGTGATTAACTTTTCAGTCTAGGAGTGGAGGTCCCTGGGACCATCAAGGGAGAAGAGCAGAGAGCGGGACCCTACCCAGAGAAGCAGTGATACCTGAGATGGAGCCAGAGATGATATGGAGCGATGGAGCAGCTGGAGACTTTAGATCCAGAGAGGGATCTAAAGTGCTGAAGACCTGGGGGGTACTGGAGGAAGGATTGCAGTGTATACCCTTTGGTTGGTTGATGATGAATGGAGGGGATTGTAATCATGGCAATGAGACGATATATGATGGAATGAATGTAAAATTAATGTTCTCCCATGTAAACTATCACATAATTCACAATAAAACATTTTTAAAAAAAGAGAGACCATGTATCTCAGAAATTAGGAGTACTGCTCTGGAGTCAGATTAAATCCTGATACCCCAAGGTCCTTAAAACTTGTACACTTTGGTTTCAGTATCTACAAGGGGGTGGGGCTAATTACTACTGTTCCTTCAAGACCTGTATGAATGTCGTGACAGCGCTGAACCTTATACTGGGGACTATAAACATTTGCAAGCCCCAAATGGCATCATATTCTACTCTCTCAGTGACCAGCTTGTTTGTTGAAAAGAAATAAAGTCCACCAGGCTGCCCCCTAGATGGGGATGTGAACCAAAAACAAATTGAACTGACAGGTTGGACTCTGAACTGGACCCAATGTTAATTTTAAACTAAATTATGAACTGAACCAAAGTCCCTTCCAGGCTCCATCTCCCCCACCCTCCTATCTTCCCCTCCCTGCCCCAAATGACAAAGCACCAAGGCTGTGAACCAGATTAAAGAAGATCCAAGCCAAAAGACAATCAAATGGAACCTCAAAGAAATCCCCAGACTAGCTCTGTGGCAAGGAACTCCTCCAGGTGGGTGCGTGGGAGGGCAAGAGCTGTGGTGATACTCTTGTTTTCTGAGGTGTGCTAGAAGGGTGCATCTAATTTCTAATACATTTGAATCAGCAAATAGTCCCTGTGGTGATCGGTGGATCTCTCTCCAGATCTCAGTGGCAAGTGTGGAGATGACTTAACCAAGGAAAGAGGAAGAGATCAAGGCTTTTCAGGCCTCATTGACCAGAGATACTACTTGGGAGAAAGCGAGTGGCATTCCCCTCCACAGATTCTCTCTCTGGGACTCTCTCTGCCTCCAGAAAGTCCCCCAAGCAGAAGCTAAGCATTCACACCTGTTATTGTAAAGTGTCATAGAGTCGGTTCTGACTCATAGCCTCATCGTTCTCCTGAGGAGTAACTAGTGGGCTCAAACTGCCAACCTTGTGGTTCACAGTCCAGTGCTTACCATACAGAGCCACCCAACCTAAAGTTTCCCAAATATTTCCATAACCCCATGTAGCTTTCTTAGATAAACAGAGCTAGTCTGGGGAGATACAAAGGAAGAGAAGATGTCTATCAGAAGAGGTCCCATGAGTATGTGTGGAATTCAAGTCTCCTCTTCCAACTTTAGCAATGCATGCATATTGTACATTCCAAACTCATGTTTGTTTTCAGAGCACACACACAAATCCTGAAGGTGGGTAGAGATATACTCTACTCTGTCCTACACACTTCTATTTTTTCTCCTACTGTTCTCTGTTCATTCCACTTCAGCCACATTGACCTCCTCACTGTTTCTTGAACTTACCAAGGAAACTGTACCTCAGGACCTTTGCACTTACTCCTCTCCCTATGGAAATTTCTTCCTCCAGAAATCCTGCAACTCTCCCTCCTTCACCTCCTTCAGGTGTGAGCTCCAACATAACCTTTTCTGAGAATGTTTACTGCCATGGAGTCCAATCTGGCCCAAAGCCACAGTATGGAACAGGTTGTAAACCTTTATGGAAGCAGATTATCACATCTTTGTATCAAAGAGTGGATGAGGAGTTTGAATCACCAACCTTTGAGTCAGCAGCACAACACCTTGCCCACTGCCCTACCAGGGCTCCTGTTTTTCAGTTGTATCTCTACAAATATCACCTGATTCAATATTGCAGGCTGCTCTTATTCTCCCTCCATTTTATTTCTCTTTATAACACGATAACCTGCTGTCTTTCAAATCTAGTGCTGCTATGACAGAAATACCACAAACAGACAGCTTGAACAAATAGAAATGTATTCTCTCAGAGTTTGTTGTTGTTGTTAGGTGCCATTGGTTTGGGACAACAGAACAAAACACTACCCGGGCCTGTGCTAATATCATAACCACATTTGAGCCCATTGGTGCCACCACTGCTATACATCTCATTAGGGGTCTTCCTCTTTTATGCTGACCCTCCACTTAACCAAGCATGACGCCTTCTTCAATGACTGGTTCCTCCTGATAATATGCCCAAAGTATGAGAGATGAAGTTTGACCATCCCAGCTTCCAAGGAGCACCTGTCTATACTTCTTCCAACATAGATTGGCTTGTTATTTTGGCAGTCTGTGGTACTTTTAATATTCCTTCAACTCATAACTCAAATGCATCAATACTTTGGTCTTCCTTATTCACTGTCCCACTTTCATATGCACATGAGGCTATTGAAAATTCCATACTTTGAGTCAGGCGCACCTTAGTCCTCAAACTGACATCTTTACTCTTGAATACTTTGAAGAGGTCTTATGCAGTAGCTTTGCCTAGTGCAATATGTAATTTGATTTCTTGAGTGCTGCTTCCATGAGTGCTGATGGATGACACAACCAAAAGGAAGTCTTTGACAACATCAATCTTTTCTCCATTAATATGGATGTTATTTATTAGTCCAGGGGTAAGGATTTTTGTTTTCTTTACATTGTGGTGCAACCCATACCAAAGGGTCCACTGTTGGCCTCTGCTTTCTTTCGGTCATGAATCTCCTGTTTTCCCAGAGTTCTGGGGTCTGCATGTCTTTTCAAATGCAAATGTCACAACTCTGTAGGTTCT